TGCTCCAAAAGGTATTACATTGGGAGGGGGGTGCGAGGGGGAGTGGGAGCGGGGGGATTGCTTTTGTGGGAAAAGACCTCACATCTCATAAAAGGCCTAGTTGTTTACATAGGGATTTCCTTTCTTTGATCTTTTTCTAATCCTTACCTGGAAGAGATTCACTACTAGCTCTGAGATTTTGAGAAAATCACTCCATCTCCTTAATGGAAACACTTGGACAAGACTGGATCACTGAGACCCTCCCCAGTGCCCAGACTCAGGAGCTTGTGAGGAATGTTCTGGGTGTGCTGAGCATTTGTTTTATTGCACACAGTGGTTGGGTTAGAATCCTGTATCTGCTACTTACCAAGTGGGTAGTGTTAGTTTTTTGGGTTTTTTTTCTTTTGGTGGGTAAAAGGAGCAGGGATTCCCTGGCAGATCTCCGGAGCACTGAGGACACTCCTAAAGATTGGGTGCTCAGCTAGGTGTAGCAGTACCGCTCAGACCTGTGTGGGCGCTGGGCATGAGCTCAATGAAGTCCTAAGTAAGGCCTTGCATGCAGACCACCAATTCCAACTCTCTACCCAGCCAGGTCACAGTTGCTTAAAAGTGGGCACTAAAAAGTTTGATCCTCCAAGAAGAGAGCAGAGAAAAAAAACACAGCATGCAAACATAGCATTTGGAAAGCACTTAAGAAAAGATCATCCTCCCCCCTCACACTACCAAGGAGAACAAGTTTCACAAACATTTTCATAAATGTGCGGGAATTTTCCCCAAATCATCATGATCCAATCTGCCCTTTTCAAGAATCTCAGGATGAGCTCAGGAGTGGTATCACAGGTAGAAAGAAATTCCTAGAAAAATCTCTACTGTTAATTAGAAGCTATTAATGAACCGTAGGCGTATGTTTTCATTTGATTTGTTTTGATTTAACTTTTTGATTAGGGAGTGTAGGGAGAAGCACGGGCCAAATATGCTTTATGACATCACCTTTGAAGAAACTCTTTTCCAAGAAATTCAAGAGCAAAAAAGATATTAGGTACTCTCTTTTTGTAAATCTGGTCTCCTCTCTGTGAATCCTCTTAACTTTAACCTCTTAACCCGTGTGGAATGTTGGCTCTTTCTGATCCGACGGAGCTTTAAGCAGCTTTGAGATGAAGGAGGGTACTTGTACTCTGTAGAGCTCAAGACAAGAACTGGGAAGGGGAGAAAGCAGAGTTCTTGAATGACCTCCCTTTCTGTTGTAAGACTTTTTAAGTCTGTTCATCAGCTCTGGGGACCTGGGGTCACAAAAGACCAACTCATAAAAATTTTGATTCAAGGGCTGGAGCAATAGTACAGCATGTAGGAAGTTTGCGTTGCACGCAGCTGACCTGGGTTTGATCCCCAGCATCCCATATGGTTTCCCAAGTATCGCTAGGAGGAATTCCTGAGTGCAAAGCCAGGAACAAACCCTGTGCATCGCCAGGTGTGACCCAAAAAGAAAAAAAAATTTTTTGATTCAAATGTTCTCTTAACAAAATATAGTATCTGATGAAAGCCATAGAACTGATTGTAATATAGAAAAATCTTTGACAAGCAACTTGGCACTAAGAATCAAGTCTTCAGATGTGCATACTCTTTGTTCTGGGTATTAATTAAGAAACAGGTATGTGAACGAGTGTTCCTTTTAATAGTAAAAAAATAAATAAATAAAATAAAAATTTGGGGAATAACATAAAAAAACAAGGGAGTAGTTAGTTACATGTAGTACATGTAGTTAGTTACATGTAGTACATCCAACAGATGGACAAGACTCTACAAGGAACTCGTCAAAACCCAAGCACATATACAATCTTATTAAACATATAAATGTATACATATATAAAGCAAAATATAAACTGTTCCTAATGCAAAAGGTCTGGATGGAAATTACCACATGCTGGTTGTGGTAACAGGATTTTCAGAGACTTTCATTTAGTTTGTTTTCAGGTCCATACTAAGAACTGTAGTACTTAACTTTTCTAATTTGTTCATCATTATCCTGATTTATAAGAAAATAAACAGGGAATCTTGTGCATCTGGGAAGTGGCAGAGAAGGTGACACAGACAATAAATTTTATCAGTTCCAGAAATAGGGCACTGGTCACACTTCTATGCTCACCTCTTGTTAGATGCTTTTTCTCTAGAATTTTTGTAGGGGAACAGAAGAGATTTCCCTCTACCTCGAAATCCTGCCGCTATTGCATTTATGGCTACATATTTCATATCAATACTACTGCCATGATTTTTGAGGGGGAGGCACACCCAGCTGTGCTCAGGGATGACTCCTGTTCCTGTGCTCAGGTATGAACTCCTGGTGGGACTCAGGGGACCATATGGGGTACCATGGGTTGAACCTAGGTCTGCTGCATGCAATAGCAAATGCCCTACCCACTGTATTATCTCTCTGGCCCAACTGCCATTATTATGTTTAAAATAAGTGAAAAAAATTTTAATGTAGTATTTATTAGGCACCGGCACTGTTGGAGCTGGTGGTTTGGGGGTTTTTGGTGGATTTTTTTTTACATCTATGTTTCACCTCTTTCAGGCTTGTAGGAGCTTTTAGTCAAAGAAACTATTGTCTCCTTGGTTTATTCTGCTCTTGTTCTTTATTCCCTGCCTACAGAGAGTGCCTTTTAGGGATAAAATAGATTTGTATGGAAGAAAAAAAAATGGGCAGACCAGGCCAGTCTTTGTTAAAAAACAAAGACTCTTTGCTGCCAGAGAGTGGAGGAGAGAAGCATCTTCAGGTAGGCAGGACAGGAAGATTCTAGAAAAGGGGCAGCACAGGTCTCCCTGTGATGTGGCTCATTTGCTACATTGCTAACATCAGCAGCTTGTCATAGTTTCAAAGAACAGTGAAAAGGAAATATGCCCTATTCTGCTAAGTTCTGTAGGGTTTTTTTTTTATGTTAATAAATACCCCAGAATCACATCCTCTACCCTGGGCTGTCAGGGGAGTGGTGGGGGAAAGCACCATAATTTTAAAACCACCAGGTCAGGCCCTTGCCAGGAATAAACCATTCAGATGAGTTGTGTTTGTCACCCTTTAATGAGGATTTTACCTCTGCCACAAAAGGAAAGCTGTCATTAGGCTTTGCATTTATGGGACAAGTGATTGTCTCAGGACAGTGGGATTCTTCTGGTCTCTTCCTCATCTTACTCAAGCTCAAGACCAAATACATAGATGTTGTCTGTACCAGATGAAGCTAAAACTGCTGCCAGCTAATGTCTTTTGAAAACATCAATGAAGAAAATGGCCTCTCCATGCCCCTTTTTACTTGAAAATTTGGAAACATCCATACATGTTGTAGCATACAGAAGAGGGGAAGAAGAACACTGTCTAAAGTGGGGGCAGCCCGCATGGCTTGTGGGGCTCAGGTGAACAGTATCCCATTCCCAACTCCTTGGCCACAGGCTGACACACTCTGGCCAAAATAAGAAATGCCTGGAAAACCCAGCACTCTTATCTGCTCTTGTAGTGTTGAAACTGGAGTAGCACCTCCACAGTTAGGCTGAAACCAGACTTCTGCATCAGTCTGGCACCACACACACACCCCATTGTTCACACCTCCTCTGGACAGATTAGATCCCACATTCCTCACAAATACTGAGCTCCAAGGAGCCAGCAGGCTCCTTCGACCTGGCAAGGGACAAAGACTACAACTGATAAGTTTTCATTGAAATAACCAGCACAATTACTTGGAGTGCCCACCAGGGATCAGTCACTAGCCAGAGCTGATACATTTGCATCTTCTGGCATGTGCAAAGGTGTGAGCCAGACAAGAGTAATTCAAGTTGTCATCTCACTTTTATACTTTTATATGCATTTATCTGTGGCTACCTGCTGTTGTTAATCACACTTTTCACCCAGGGTGTACTCTTAGACTGTAGTTTTTCTTTTCAGGCCTTATCGAGTAAGCTGTGATATTTACACTATCTCAAGGTAGATTTGGACAAGTAACTAATTAATCTCAGACCAAAGATACTGTTGGGTTTGGGTTAAAATCCACTAAGGTCATGGTTGGTTGAAATCATACAGCTCAGGTCAAAGCTGAACAAAGATCTTTGCTTTCCAGTCATAGTTTCAGTCAGAATGTTTATTCATCAGGACATTTATACTAAATCTGAGAACTGTAACTTCCCTGTTCTTTTTTCTGAAGTTAACTGAGTGAGGAAGTGGCCATCTGAGTGAAAGGACAGCACCACATGCCTTTTACAGAATCAATTCTCGAAGATTACATTTCAACCCGGGATTGTATCTAATAGGATTCCATCTCCAAAGGGCCCTATTTGGCTTTTACAACATATAAATGATCATTTTGGGAAAAGGATCCCATTTAACATATACTGTATTTACTGGCAGGAAATACAAAGCTTGACTTTCATCCAGGTCAGCCTTTGAAAGAAAATAAAAGGCAGTTCAGCAGATGGGTATTTCCCAAATCTGCAGAAATGTAAACAGTAAGGATCTGGGTGCCTATGGGTTTTATCAAAGATGTAAGTTAGGCTGAGACCAACACCAGTGTGTCCTCTTTGGCTAGTTTTAACACGTTCACAGTTACAATTAACATTTAAGGAATTTACTTTTCATCCAAGTGTTTCTTTTAAAAGTACTTTATGCCACAAACTCAAGTTCTAGCTGCCATCGTCCTTCCCATACAGAAGAGTCCTGAAATCTCCACAATACTTTTTCCCCCTAATGTTTGTTTTGTTTTGCTTTTGAAAATAGGCTCGGACCACGTTTCTTGGGGGTGAGTTTTTTACAACAAAGGGGCTTCTCAACCTCTCTTCCCTCTTTCATCCCTCTAAATGGGGCTTGGATGGGACACCCCACCACACTTCCTGAGCACTCACCCCACGCGCCAGAAGGGCGGGCGGAGGGACACCGTGGCGGGGCAGGCTCCCCGAGTTCCTCCAGCACCCCATGCCTCCAGAGCCGGAGCTCCGAGCCCACCCCTCCCCACCCTGCACCCCGCTGCTCCCTTCTACAAAGGGAGACGCGCCTCTCGCCCTCTCCCGCCCTGCGCCTCCTACACCAGCGATTCGCACACGGGCACGGAATCGGAGTCCTGGCTGTGCATGGAGCTCAGCCCTGTATCCGAGTCCTCGTCGTTGCCGGGACAGCTTTTGGCCAGTCCGCGGGCCTGGTCCACCCACACGTCGGCGGCGCAGGCCTGGGGTCCGGGATCCCGCGGGGGCGCGCCCGAGCCGGGAGCCCCATCGGGCACCACCGCCAGTTCCAGCGTGTGCAGAGTCTGGAGGAGGCCCTTGAGCTCCCGCTCCTTGCTGTCCCACTGCTGCTGGCTGTAATCCAAGTCCGACTTGACGGCCTCCAGGTCCGTGTTGAGACGCAGCCCGATGTAGAGGCTGGTGCTGAGCTGCGTCCGGACCCGCTCCTGCTCCAGCAGCACCTCGCCCTCGAGGCCGCCGTCGCTCCCGCCCGGTTCCTCGCGCGCAGTCAGCTCCTCCCGCCGCCGCCGCATCCACCTCTGGTTCAGCTCCTCCTGGATCTCGGCCGACAGGCGCTCGAGCAACTCCTCCTGCTGGGCCCGCTGCTCCTGCAGCCGCAGCACGTCATTGCAGCGCCGCGCCAGCTCCTCCAGATGAGCCGCCTGCGCCTCGCCGTCCAGGGGTGCCGCCGCCGCCGCCGGCGGCGCCGCAGTCTCCATCTCCGTCCCCGGGCAGGGGCAGTCGACCTCGCTGCCCGCGCCCACCAAGTACGTGTCCTGCACGTAGTTGACTCCGTGTCGCCGCACGCGGTCCAGGTGCACCTTGGCCTCGTAGCGGTCGATCTCGCGGTCCAGCTCCCGCAGCCGCTGCACCTGCTGACGGATAGTGTGGTCCTGGGACAGCACCAAATGCACCAGCGTCTCCATGTGCTCCATCGACCCGCTCTCGGTGGCCCGCGGCGACGACGAGCAGGACGAGGCGGTGGACGACGAAGTAGTGGACGACGAGGGCGACGACGGCTGCTGCTGCTGCTGACGCCGCCGGTTGAGCTTGGCCAGCTTGCGGAAGGCCTTGCGCACCACCCGCCGCTGTTTCTCTTGAATCAGGGCCAGGTTGGGTCGCGACGGCAGCGCCCCCCGGGACGAGCAGGTGCGCTCCCGGCTGAGCACCACGCGCGCCTCGGCGCTGCGGGGACCGGCGTTGGGCAGCGACGCCTCGCTGCGCACCAGCACGAAGCGCACGTTCTCCTGCTCGTCGCCCCAGGCCGCCCAGAGGCGCAAGATGCGCGTCTTGTTGGGCAGGATGCGCTCAAAGCCCCGCCACTTCTCCACGATGCAGTAGCTCTGCGGGGGCCCGCACAGCATGCCCTGCGGCAGCGCCTCGCCGTCGTCCTCATCGTCCTCGTCCAGGAGGGGCTCCGGCAGCTCCTCTGGGCCCGGCGGGTCGCCGGCCGCCCCCCGCCGCCGGCCCCGGCGCTGCCTCCTCAGCCGCCTGCAGCCGTCCTCCAGCAGCACCCGCACCACGTCGGAGCAAGTGGTGCGACGGGACAGGCCCGACACCAGCTTTTCCTCCTGGCAGATCCACACGGAGATCTTCTTCTCTGAAGGATCCATGACTCAAAGGGGACGCTGGGGACGCGGCGGCCCGGGTCCGAATGGGGCGCGCCGGGCAGCGCGGGCAGCCTGGCAAGTCTAGGATGGGATGAACGCCCGCGACCCTAATCCCCGGCAACACCCCCCGTCCTTCTCCCCAGTCGCGCACCGAGGCAAGCGTCCGCGCGGGTTGAAGGGGCTGAGCTAAGCTCGGCCGGGACGGCGAGCGCTGGTAGAGCACCGAGCCGGGGCTCCGGCTCCCGCCTCTCTGGCGCGGCCCCGGGATCCCTCAGCCTCCGGGTTAGGCTCCTCCCCATGTGGCTCCTCCCCCCTCCCAATCCCAGCTCGGGGCTCTGCGGACCTGGAGCTGCAGGCGCGGCGCCCAGACCCGCCTCCCGCTGCCCGGCTGCGCCCCTCGTGCCCAGTGCGCAGCGGTCCGGCTCTGCGGGCATCTGTAGACTCCGCCGCCCGCAGTGCCGGTCCCTCGCGGCGACTCGGTGCTAAGAGGACAGCCCCGCGACTCCGCTGCTGCCATGTAGAGCCTGAAGCTCACCCTCAGGCAGGGTTCAACTATGATCGCCCTTGACCCAGAGGCACCTTTCCTTCAATCTAAAACTGACTTTCTCCTTTTTTCTCTGCACCCCCACCCCCCCAGATGCGATTCCCGGTCCTTCAAGACTACGTAATCTGGGGAGCGCCCCTCGTGTGGCCAGGGTCACCCAGACTCCCCGCAGTCTCCATGAGCCACGTAGCAGGACCTCCAGTTAGGAACTGTAAATGCTGCCTCTAGCAGAAGAAACCTTCCGTCCCTCCTGGTCTAGAGCAATGTTTGCAAGGCGGGGCTGTGTGTCTACAGGGAAGTGCATGCAATGGTCTCCTGGCTGCAGGGGAGCTGTCAGAGACTGTTTTTGGTGCCCCCCTTGTATCTGTGACTCTCCACATTTCCCCATCTTCCCACAACCTCCTTAGAGAAACACCTAAACACATGTATGTATATATAACCTAATTATAATAATTCAGGGTCCAGAGCTTGTCCAACTCCCTATGAGGACTCCTATTGATTACTTGAACGGTTTCTGACATTTTCCAGGGGTTAAGAAGAGGTCAGGGCTAAGCTTCCCAGGTCAGGAAATCTAAACTCACCAGGCAGAAGGACGCCTCACTTCCAATGCTGTGGTGAGGATTATCTCATTTGTAGGGCTTGCCCTTGAGAGTAAGGGCCTGATAAGTAAAATCACTGGGTTTGGTTTTGTTTCTTTCCGTTTTTGTTTTGTTTTTGCTTCAAACTCTTTGATGTCTCCCTGTTGCTTATTCCATAAGTCAGTATTTACCAAGTACCTATTGTGCTCCTCATGCTGTACAAGAGATTTGATGAGCTCATCAGTGACCTGGCCTACACGGAGCTTCCATTATAATAGGGAGTGTGTAACTCAGGATCTTCTGTCCTCTGTTCTCATTTTGAGAGACTTTAGTCTCTCAAAAATTGTTGAAATATCACCCAACCTAGGAAAGTCAAGGAAGACTTCCTAGAAGAAGTGCCTTCTTAGGTTGGACTAGAAACACTGTGTCAGCTGAAGGAGACACAATTGAAGGGGACAGGGAAGCCCCCATTCTAGCCAGAAGGAACCCTATGTACAAAGTCAAGAACTTGGGCAAGCCTGGAAGTTACTGAAGCTCTAAGAAATCCATAGTAAAAAGAGTATCAGCCAGTAAGATTGAATGGGTAGGTAGGAACTGAATCAGTCAGAATATCACATGACATACCTTAGAATTTGGACCAATGCTAAGAGCAAAAAATGCTAAAAGCAAAAAAAAAACTCAACATACTAAGAATTATCACTACTCGGTGTTCTTAGGAGAATACTTAATCACTGTAAACCTCAGTTTTCTAATGTAGGAAATGGTGACTTAAAACGCCTAATAAAATTCAAATGAATATGAGAAGCTTGGACCTGCTAAGTCCACAATAGAGGTTTTATTGGAGGGCTAGAAACATGGGGCAGGATGGGTAGTATGAGTATTTTCTATTACTGGGTAACAAAGTACCATAAATTTCATAACTTAAATAACAGCCAAGGCAAGGCATTGGCTGGATTAAGTTCTCAACTAGAGGCACTAGGGAAAATATTTCTGAGTTCTGTCGGGTTGTGGCAGAAACCTGTTCATGCAGCTGTAGAACCGAGTCACCTGTTTCCTTGTTGACTGAGGGTTAGGGGGTCATTCTCAGTTTCTGGAAGCATCTCAAAGGTGTGCAGGATCCCCTTCATTTTCATATCCACAGCAGCATGTTGGAATCTTTGAATCTTCTCTTGCTTTGATTTTTCTTGATATTCCTATTGCTTCCTGCTGAGGAAGTCTTCTGCAGTTGACGAGCTGGATTCATTTAAGATTATCTACCTGGAAATTTTCCCATTAAGGTGAATGGATGAATAGCTTTACCCTCATATACAAAATCCCTTTTGCTGGGTGATATCATTGCCAGAGTAATGTCATATGCTAGAGATCCCAAAGTTATCTTCCATTTCTACCTGTCACAGAGAGAAGCATGATCAGATTTCATTTTGAAAAATCACCATTTGAATAGGAGACAGGGTGTAGATAGGGGACAAGGAGGCTGTTTTGAAGACGGGGACTGTCACTTTGGGTGAGATGAGGGTCTGTAATGGAACTAATGGTACTAAGGAGACTAGACAATGAAGGAGGCAGGGCATGGTGATGAATGGGAGGGAGAGTTCCATCTTCTTTCAACGGTGTTGAGAGCAGAGAGTTCTCTTATTATCTGGCCCAGATCATGCCTTCACTCCCCCCACAGCCGCCACCCCCCCCCCCCATGCCTGGATGCCTCTCTTCCTTTGAGTTGGTAAGACTCAGGCTTAGAGCTTTGTTATCAGCGGCTATTTCTAGTGGGGTTTTCACTCCATAAGGGTAGAGAGCATATCAGTTCTCCTTCCATATCTACATTTAGCCTGGTGCTTGGCACATCCGAGGTTTACTCAGTGTCTACTGAATAAACAAATGGATGGATGAATAAATCCTGTGCTCTAGCAAGTCAGCACCTCATTCATCTGGAACAGCATCTACATATTCATTCACCCATGTTCATGTACATGCTTTCCCCACTAATTAGGATGCCTCTTAAACAACTGGAAAACTCCTACTCATCCTGCAGAAGAAAGCAATTGCATACCTTTTCTGGATCCACATCTTGAGTGTTTCTTTTTGTTTTACCATATCAGAGAAGCTTCTTGCTACAACCTGAACTGCTCCCATTAGGCAGTCCAAGAAGCACATTCCATCTGCTGCTCCACAGCTGGATATGACTGAAAGTTTATATGACTGCCTTCCAGATAGATGGATGAGTCTTTGCTCACCTACCAGCCCTTATCCCAGATTCAAGCAGTACACTTAGCTAGGAAAATGCACGAGTTTTATTGTAGGAAAGAATACACTTGTGACGAGGGATAAGAGAAGGCATTCACAAACAGGACAGATTTTCAGTACTGCTTTAATTTTTAAAAATTCATAATACAGTGGCCAGGGAGATGGCCCCAAGAGCTGAGACATGCTTTGCATGTGGGAGAGCAACATGCTGGTTCCATCCCCAGCACCGCATGGTTCCCCCGAGAACTGGAGCGCCAGTGATGGAGTGGTCTCTGAGCATCACCAGGTGTGGCCCCAAAATAAACAAGCAATGGACAAACAAAATAAAAACTCAGTACATAATAGAGAAGTTTATAAATATAACTACATCAAAAATGGAGGCTTCAGGGACTAGAGCAGTGTTATAGCAGGTAGGATGCTTGTTCTGCACTGCAGTCAGCTCAAACCAGATCTCAGGTACCCCAGATGGTCACTTGAGATCCACTTGAGAGTCAGTCCTGAACACCATTGGGTGTTAACACCCCCAAAAACAACCCCAAAATTGGAGGTTTCTATTTTTTAAAAAAATTACATGAGGATACTACAAATTATGTTAAAATTCAAATAACAACCCAGGAGAAAGTACTTACAGCATAGATGCCAAAAAATTAGAATTGGGGCTGTATAAAAAAAACCTTCAAATTTTAATTAAAAACCAAATGAATGAAGCTATATAAAATGAATTCAAAGTTGATTGCAGATAGATCACAGAAAAAGCAAAATGACTAGCAAATAAAATAATGCCCATCCATAACCTAAATGAAATGAAAACTTATGCCAGCTTATTGACATTTTAATATTGACAAGGGGGCTCAAGTATGTTCAGGTGATCTGAGAATCCCCCAGTGATTCCTGACCCATTTGTCTGCAGTTCAATGCGCGGGGCCCCGGATGCCGTGCAGCTTGTGTCCTTGTTGCTGGAGTGATTCCACAGTGACACCTGGTAGTGCTGGGGAACTCCAGGACTGCACTCAGCAATGCTCGGGAGTCCAGGTAGCATTAGAATTCAGCTAAGAATGCACCTCACCACTGTACTCTCTCCCCTGGCCCCCTCATTGACAACATTTTAAAAGTTGGTAACATTGATGACCAAGAGACAATGTCTCAGACATTTTTGGTATAAATCAATATGTGTATTTTGGAGATGAGATGGTAATAGTCATTAAAAATTAAAATGGGGGGTGCAGAGTGATAGTACAGTGGATAGTGCATTTTCCTTGCCCATGACCAACCTGGGTTCGATCTCTAGCATTCTATATGGTTTCAGAGCACTGACAGGAGTAACTCCTGAGTGCAGAGCCTGGAGTAACCCCTGAGCATCGCTGAGCGTGACCTAAAAAGCTATAAATAAATGAATAAATAAATAAATAAATAAATAAAATGGGGCCCAGAAATGGAGCTCAGGAGTACACCAACTTTCTTTGTAAATCTGAGGCCCTTAGATTAGATGCCTGGAACTGCAAAAAATTAAAACGTATAAAAATGGATAACATCAAAGGGAAAGAGGAACCATTTTCACTTAAGAAAAATAGTAGATATAATGAAAGTGTTGACCAATAAGAGGAGGGCTAAACAGTCTCAGAGATACCCAGAGCAGCAAAAGTCAGCAAAGTTGATTTATATTTTCAGTCATAAAAAATCTCCAACATGCATTGTTCAGGGCAAAAGACAAGTTTTAGAAGGAGCGAT